TTGTTGCAGCTGGAATAGGAGTATAAAATGCATGTTAACACTTAAGAGGACTTCTCAAGAATATTTCACAGACAAGGCTGGTATAACGGCGATGAATTTTGACCTCTGAACAAAACCATTGGATTTGCCATAACGGATGAGTCCACTGGTGCCTATAAAGTCCAATATGTGGCAGCAGCTATTAGCAGATGTTTCAGAGGAAAATGAATATCTTCTGTTATGCATCTAACCAATTCTTCAATGGATGCAAAAAAATTGTCCTCATCCTCTAGACAACCAATTTACACTCTGAAGCATAGAATTTGATTATCCTTAGTCTGCATAGCTACAAATATGAAAACAATTGGTCATGGAAATATTCATAGAAAATAGAGAAAGTTAATCATTTTTCACTATACCCTTCTTAATTTTGAGTACCTCAGTGAGGACCTCTTCTACTTTCCTTTATAATCCTAGTTTTTACACTCCTTTATCTCATATAATGTTCCACCAGGGCACTAAACATCTGTGTTACCTTTTCTCTGGACCTTTCAATTTCAGCTATATCTTTCAGTGAACAGTCATCTTCACAGCTACTTCAAAGGGCTAAGTTCTCTATGGATCCTATTCTCCAATCATTCAAAGCTCATCACCATGCCTGAGTCAGGTTGACTATGTTTTTCCAATATACGTTACTACCTGTGATTTTCATCTTTCACTATGTTATCCAACGTGTTTATGTCTATCTGGATTTCCCAATAATCTTGCATAACTGTTACCAAATGAAACAACTTAATATCTTAGGTAGCTGAACATCCCTAAATTTTGTGCCAATTTGGATTTCATTCCACATTCATCATCTGGTCCCCATCTCAGAATAGGACAAACCAAAAACTCCAGATCTGAATATCCCACAACTTTGGACAAGGTTAGAGCTGAATCTGAACATGAAAATTCGAGTCCATCTTTACTCATCAGCAGACTTTGCTATCCCCTTTTTTCTCCAAATCTTTAATAACTGCATTAAACACACAGGCTCTATTACAGAACCCTTTTAAAAATAGTATTTATATATAAAATAGCAAACCCAAAAACAAACATCCACCAACCCATCTACCCTGTATCCGGTGACAGCCTGAAACAGAAAATGAAAATTTTCATCGTGCCCTGAAGGTAAAATTCAGACAATGTTTCACAAGCAGAAAGTTGAAATTGACAACTGAGAGCACTGACAGCAACCCACAGACAATTAAATCAAAGAACTCTTAACTTGAGCACCCAACAGGCCTCATTTGTTGTGATGGTGCACAGAGGAAGAGCCATTCTCTCAAATAACCAGGTCCCACTTGGGGTGTATAGGCCATGAATACCTTGAACTACAATTGAAAAAGAATAGAAAGCCAGTGCAGCTACTGAAAAACTAATGCAATATGCTGTCTCAGCTAATACTAGCTAACAGGCAGACTGCCACTTTCTGCAAGAACTGTACCTTTTGAGTGGTCTTCAAGTGCATCCCTATGTAGGGCATATTCCAATAAATCAATCTAGAAGCCACAAAAGGTTGGATCAGAGAGAGACAAAGTCTCAACTGTCCAAATAAATAAGTGATAAGCATCTTTAGCGCTGATGCCAAATGAATCTTCAGGAGTGCAAAGCTCCCCAAAATAGCAAACTTGTTGGATGCAGAGTGGACAAACCGCTCCCAATAATGGATGTCAAAATCCCCACCAACAATACACTCCAGATCATAGAATCATAGAAGATTAGGGTTGGAAGAGACCCCAGGAGGTCTGGCTTCCTATCCACTAGTTTCATCATTGTCTTATCCAATTAAGATCCAGGCAGCTTGCTTTCATCCACATTCCAATCTGAGTCAGGCACTGGGAAAGCTAAGACACAGACCATCTGGGTTTGATGAAAGCAAGTTCTCTGAAATCACCACTGTCCATATTAGTTTTATTATCTCTTCAAATGGTAATACATAAAATTTTAATAGGAGGGATATCAAAACAAAACTTTATCGCACCTCATACTAGAGATCCCTTAGGACAGAAGGGCAGCTACTGTTTCCAACCATCTGGGACCTCTCCAAGAAGAAATAATAGAACCACTCCAGAGGAATATCATCTACCTCACTGTGTTCAGAAAGCATCATGGCCATTGGTATCAAAACCTGCTCTTGTATTACTAGGAAAAGATGGGCAGTCTGTCCTTGCCAAGCTCAAGTCAAAAAACCCAACTGAAAAGCATGCAAGATGTGAGGATTCTAGTATGTTCCATATGTGCATTGCTATCATATTGTTTTTCAATAATCTCCTCCACAAAGGGAAAAAGATTGGAAATGGGGCTATCACTGGCAAGTCTGCCAGCACCAGGAAATATTTTGTTGATATCCAGATGCTGGCAGACTTTGATACCAATGGCCATGATGCTTTCTGAACACAGTGAGGTAGATAGTAGTGGATAATGGCACAACTCCCCCAACAGGGAGTATGGACAATCTCAACCAACAGTGAACCCAATTCCTCCTCACCTGACTATACTAGTCATGTGGAGCAAAGGTCCTCTTTCATGTCACAAGAAAGTTTCCCTGAGAGACTTCAGTGCTTTATAGAATAAAGCTGGCCTAAAATTCAGCCAGAGAAATCTGCCTATTCACATCTCCAGAGATATAGTTACACTTATGAAAGCAGCTAGACAGGTTCAAATCAGACTGAAAGGAAACAGACAGTTCATCACAACTTGTAAGATTTGACACTGTTTCTGCATGGAGACCCCTAAGATTCACCAGGCTATCAACCACCTGTTCCCCTGGGTAAGAATTAAAATATGCAGTGCCTTTCATCTACACATCTCAAAGCACTTTACAGAGTACCACTATCCCCATTTTTTTCCCACATAAGTTGAAACGAATACAAGGAGTCAAGAGAGCAATATCAGACAGGAAACCACCGGGAATAAAATCCAGGACTCCTGACTCTCAGTGCTACAGCCTTAGCCACTGAATCCTGCTGCATGTTGCTTGGAATTAGCAAGGTCGCGATTTTCCCATTTTATTTTAGTGTTAGATTATCAGTGTTACATTATTAAAAATAAAGCTACCACCTTTTATCCTGTTCATGAATGTGTGCAAAGTAAAGTTATTTGAAGGCAAGACTATAGTGGGGCAAAATATAAGTGCAAGACTTAAAGTTTTCGTGAGATACTATGATCGCAATTTGTCACACACTTGCTTGGAACAAAAGTTCTCATGGTTTTAATGCTGCTTTTGAATGTGCTTTTAAAGAATTGTGTCAGAAAATATTATTTCCTCTCTGCTGCCTGAGCGAAACAATAGTAAAGCACATGTACTGTATGCAAAAATAAATGGGGTTATTCCTTATCTAATTGCAATTAATTATCCCTTGTGATTAAAAAAATCATATCAACAATTTGTTAAATACAGTTGTTGCTATCTTCAGTCTATCTGCTTTTTTAAAACTGCTTTAAATACCCGCTATTAAATTAAAGGACTGGCATACTAAGGGGAGGGATAATAAAATGCTAGACAATATATTCTGCAGATTGCTTTCAATTAGTTTAATCAAATGTGATCAGCTTTGTAAAAAACCTCTGAAATTACCAGTGTGGTTTTGCAAAACAACAACAACAAAACAAAACAAAGCATTTATTTTATGCTTTTGGATAGGTGTTCTGTGCACTTAAAAAAAACCTAGAAGAACAAAACCTCTGACTTTAATTAGATAGACAATCTTCTGAATTTGTCAATGGGTCAATTAAAAAAAAATGCATCATGAGTTTGATGGCATAACAACAGTAATAACCTATCTTTCAGTATCAAAGGATTTTCCCCCCTTCAAACTTCTCTCTTTTAGTATTATTGGAGAGCTCATCTTCCAGTTTAAATTAATTTCCCTTTAATATCTTCCTTGAGCTGCTGGATAGATGCAGCCTCTTAAAAAAATTCAGGCTATCAGTGTGACTGTAAATTGATCCATCTCTGTGGCAGAAGGCCAGGGGCGCTCTTCATCCAGGAAAAACACCGAGTCTCATCGAACTTGTTTTTCAGGCAAATGATTAATATTCATTTTCTCTAGCCACAGTATTTTCCTATTAATGAGAAAGCATTTCTGAAAGAATCATGGTACTTTATGGATGGTTTGTTCCTGGCACTATACAAAAAAGACCCATCTCCTGATCACTTCAAGGCTATAAATATTTTAAGTTTTATGTTTACTAAATTAGGAAGTAGGTTATATTCAAGTGCTAAAATGTGCTAATATATCACTAGTTAGTGATAACTACTCATTGTTAGTGCTGTGGATTTATATAGCACATTAACAAAAAAAATCATTTTTAATGAAAAGTTGAGAATGAGCATAGTTATGACTATGCAATCTTTAAAACAGACACGTAACTCATTAGTACCAGTAGAGGAAATAATCGGTCTGGTGTGGGTCTGAATCCACATAGCCTATTTGCCTTTGGCTCTTTGGTTATGAGATCTGGCATCACTTGGATTATTTCACATAATCCATCATTAGCTTTCATGTGTCCTATATAAACCTAAATGTAACAAACCCAACTCCTCATCAATTACTACACTGAATACATTACATGTCAGTGTAAAGCATACATGAATACACATGCTGAACTACATCTTTCTTTCTGAAACATCAATATTTTTAGCACCCTGTTATCACTGCTGAATCTTCCTGTAACAATTTTTACCTTCCATTATGAAAGTGCAGTTCTGTACCATTCTACTCTATTGACATACAATACAGAGCTTTTAAAAAAGCCACCAGTACAAAGATCCACTTTTTAAAAAAAAAATTGTTACATTCCTTTTAACAGAACCCTGAAAGATGACCTAATTTGTTTTCTCAGAAATCTGTCCATCCATAAATGGTACAAATTGATTTTCTACCATTAGAAACATATTGGGATAAGATAGTAACATTCACAACTGGAAATAAATGTGATAAAAACATATTAATTTGACATGCTTCCTTACTTACCAGTCTTCCACAAATATACAGATGAAGTTTCAAATTCACTTTGTGCTTTAGCTTCCCAGATTCCAAACAGAAGAACCACAAGAACTCCTGTACTACGGATTGAAACAGCAGAAGCCCCTGGACCACCGAATAAAGCTGTGCCTCCCTTTCTCACCCCCATGCCTTCAGAAGGCTGCTTCAGTGTCAAAATCTGCAGCACAAAGGGTAACCCTTGTTTGAGTAATTTTCTCCCCTTCAGAATTTCTTCATCGAGAGGGCAGAATGGAAACCTCTTCCCAGCTATTGTGCATGTCAGCTGAAAAGGGAAAACTGTTTAACATCAAGGAACAATAGAGACCTCGGATGCTGCTGCTATTACTGGTACTGCTGCAGCTACTAGTGTGGTTGTTGCTCCCCTCTCTTCCATTCAGTGGTTAGTAGCAGTTTTCCATCAGCTGAGAGAGACAGCTGTCCACAGGGGGCTCCAGCTGACGGAGCAGGTTATCTTGGTCCGGGAGGCAGCAGCAGTCATTTACACCAGCTGGAGAGAGTGAGAGAGAGATGAGGTGAAACACAAACAACCCAATGCTGTAATAGCACTGCATATAGCCACTGCAAAATGCTGCCTTCTGCACACCTCTGTCTAGAGTATCACAAGGACACATACTAATAAAAAACCATCAGGCACGCTTGCAAGACAAGTAACAGCTCTTAAAAATCAATGATTTTCTAAGCTTTAATTAAAATCTATGCTTGATTTTTTATTTAATTGCACTGATACAGATGCAGTTCAGAATATAGAACTTGAGCCATATTTTATTTTGGTAACAATATATATGATGTGTTTATCATTTTCCAAACAATCAAAATATTTATAAAGGATTATACATGCACTAAACTGAAACCTCACAAAAAGACTTCAGGAAGCAATGAAAACCTTTTTACTGCACATTATTCAAATGAACCTGTTTCAGGTGATAACATAAAGAAGCCTGTTGAAAGAATGTAAAAAGAGTACACATAGGTGGTTATAACAGCCCTATCCTTGTGGTATCTGAGTTTAGTGTGCACCAGAGACACAGATAAGAAATCACAGTAGCTGATAATTAAAAATTATTGACAATTTAATAAACCACATATATGCACAGCTAAAAACAATTAGCAATGAAGTTCTTATAAAATCTATCATCTGAAAAACCTAAATTGCAGAATTTTATTTTAATTATAGGTGGCCATCTGTTTTTCTTTTTGTTAATATATACATACGGGGAGAGTGGGAGAAACATCTTACACATGCACATGATATAAATGTATATTTACACAGGCACATGCGCGCACACACACGCCTTTTCCATCTAGTCAGCATGCATACACATAGATATGCATACACATGTACATGCACAAAATGTAAACTGTAAGTAATTCAAAGTACTTTGAAGACCCAGTTACCTCTGAGTTTGTAAACAGGAAATTAAATTATACTGAAGACTTTTGATCTAAAATTTACAGGCTACACCAGACTGTCAGGGATACAAGGAAGTGCGGAAAGTGACAAAGCTTTTATTTCTTTTTCAGTGGGGATCTTTTTAAACAAAATTCATCCCCTAATGAACTGAAACAACAACAAGCCTGTTGGCCTAGTTTTCAACAAACTGAAAGGCAAAAAGAGAAATGTTCTTAGAGGAAGAGGGATCGTCACACACCAAAATGGTCCAAAAAAACCACACAACCCAACACTATATGAATGCATTCTAACACCACAGCAACCACACAGTTTTAAATGATGAAGCTACTGCTGCTGAAAGAGGAAACCTTCAGAAAGTCTCTCTTGGGATGCCTGTCATTTTGCAGAACCTTCCCAGACTCAGCCTTTTCACATGCATTAGATTAAAAGCAGCCTTGATCAAATAATTCCCAAATCCTTGCCTGTTTAAATATTCTGACATCAGAGCAAATTAGCAATGTTGAAGGTTGCAAATTTGTCTTTGTTTACTTTCCACTCTGTTATGCCTGTAAAAGGGAATTAAAGGCTCAAGGAGTCCTAGCACTGTGAGGCTGTGATTAAGGGAGATAAGCAAGTGTGGATTACTGTTCCTCAGATGTTGAAAAACAGGCAACAATCAGGAGATTATAGGTTGATAAGGGAAACATAGAAAGCCATGATCCTAACAAATGTATAGCATCCTGATGCAGGACTTGCATTACAGCTAAGGTACAGAAAAAAATGCATGTATCTCACTCATTTCTCTTCCTCACTCTGTGCTGTGTGTTCATTTACAAACCACACAGAACCACTTTACGTTTGCTGTTTGGTGCGACAAAATGTAATGCTGCGTTAAACCAGGGAAGTCCTTTGAATTTATAGCTCAGGGACATTTCACAGGGAAATCTTATGGTTTACATTAGGGGACAAGTATACTTGGCATAATGAAATTTATATGTAACTTATTTAGAAATAGGATTATGAATAGATTCTCTGTTTGAGAAAATACCTTTTATATTTAAAAAGGAATCTGTGACAGTAGTTTGTGTTCTACTTTAATTACATAAGTAGATAAATAGTTTATCTTTCACAGTCCTTTGAAAAATAAAAGTAAAAATGGTAGCTAATAGCCATTTGTGTTTGTGCCAGGGGAGAAGTCAGACTTACAGGGCTACAAGGCCAAGAGGGGTCCCTTTTCAAAGGCACTAAATCTAATGGAGCATGGAAGATTTTACCCTGAGTTTATATGAATCTTGTAAGAATATCACTATACATATTTTGTACATGACCCTAGGGACACAGACTAGCCATGCAGTTGGCACAGTACAACAAATGGGTCTGGAATTGTTTCTAATATAAACACACATCTGTATGTGTGTGTGTGTGTGTGTGTAGACAACACACACACATAAAGTCATATTTCCGTCACATGCTTCTGAAAATTTACAAGAAACAGACTATTGAAAGTCATATTAGCCCCAATGTGGCACACTGATTTCACTTTTGAATATGACAGCAACTTTTTTCAAATTATCAAACAAATATATAAATATGAGTATAAATATGCAAACAAAACATATAAAATACAATAAATATGCAAAAATAATTATATTATATCCTCAGTTTGTCTTGTCTAGCTGGGATAGATTTGGAGCTGTTTGGTAATACTTTATGAATACTGTACCACATAAAGATCTGGTTTAGGGGATGTTTATGTATGAATTTACTGGGTTAACTTAATAGAAGAGAGTCTGGGGGAAAAACAAACACAAAGGTGAAGAGAAAAAATGGCTTCTGATAGGTCACCCCTTGATAAACACTTTTAGGGTTCCTAAGAGAAAATGCCCAAACTATTGGATCTGAAGATTCTATCTCCTCTCCAGCCAACCTACAAAACTGTTTTAACAGGACAGGAAAAGGCCGGCAAACACAAAAGAACATGGGTAGCTTACAAGAGAGGCCTTCTCAAGAGAGGGGGTAGTTGCTTGGGGGAAACCTGAATGAGAAACAGGCACCAGCTGAGGATGCCTGAAGTGGAGTGGTGTGAATTACTTGGTTCATTGGCAATTTCAAAGATGTCAAAATGAAAAACATTATGACTTGGGGGGGGGGGGGGAAGCTGTTTTGTTTTAGTCTGTTTTTTCAACACAGACATTTGGGTAGAACAGGCACAAATTCACAAAAAAGTGCAGGGATCACTGAATTTTTCTATTTGCGCTGAAAAAAGACTCAGCTGAAAAAAATTCACGCAGCTCTAACATGAACAAGATAGGCCTGCTATGCTACCATCAGGGGATAGTAACTCTTTAGATAAGACAGACATGCATGCAGACTGTTGTTTTAAAATACTTTTTCTCTACATGCTTTGTTCCTACTGCTAAAACAAACAATACTTGGGTTTTGAGATGACTGTCCAGTCACTGTATTCCATTGGTCACAGACTCCTGAAAGGAAGAACAGCACATGCCTGAACTCACACAGACCTGCTTAGTAAGAAGGGTGGATATACAGGGTATTGCAGCCTACGGCACAGTCTAAGGCCTTGTCTACACCACGAGAGTAAGCTGACCTAAGTTAGGCTACTCCAGCTACGTCATTCACATAGCTGGAGTCGACATACCTTAGATCAATTTACTGCAGTGTCTACACTGTGCTGCGTTGACACGAGACACTCTCCCTTCGACTTACCTTACTCCTCTCGTTCCGGTGGAGTACTGGAGTCAACCAGAGAGCGCTCTGTGGTTGATTTAGCGAGTCCTCACTAGCACCACTAAATCGACACCTGCTACATTGATTGCAGCCATGTCAATCCCCGGTAAATTTAGATATGGCCTAAGAATGGGAGAATTGCAAAATTCCACCCCAAGATAGGTAAAGGCAGGGGATATCTAAGAGGGCACACACAGAAAGACCAGAAAGGGGACAACAATTAAGCTAGCCCAGTTACTGTGACAAAAGCCATTCAGAACCAAAATAATGAAATTATATCTTGATAGTTAAAAAAAAATATTATGGAGGTACATTATAGCATTTGTCAATTAGTAAAGCTATGGTTATATTCAGGCTTCTGTCATAATCCCATGTATTCACATGTTATTTTGGGGATTCTTTGGCTGAAATTTTCCATGCTTAGTCTTCACTCATTTTTGTGTTATGGAACCTTAGAAGTTGAAACTTTACAAGTTTGTATCCTATATTTCTACATACTTCCCTCTTGCTCCTCTCAAAAATACCCTCATTAGTTTCAAATATTGTTTGTAAATAAGCACCACAAAATTTCCATTAAATTTTGAGGTCTGCATCAAACAACCAATGATACAGAATTTCCCTCTCTGTGATATATGTTTATGACACTTTATTTGGAACTGAACCTTTATTCTTATATGTACGTGCAATCTGGCAGAGTCTACATATTGTAAGAACTGCAGTTTTTGAATTGCTGACTTCTAATTGTTTCAGTTTTAACCTGAATGTAACATCTGTATCTGTAAAACTAGAATGGGTATTGTAATTTGCCAATTTATTTAAGATGGTCAAATGACCAAACTAACTGTTATAGGTCAAGAGTACATTTTAGATTATCCCTTTTATTGGATTAAGTCTTGATTAAGTTCTGAAACACACAGACTTCTCATATCCTAAAAGAAAGGCCGTTGACAGTGCAAAATTGACCTAAAAGGGTACTCCAATTACATAAAGTGCTGGCAACCCCTGGTCCACTGCGGGAACCTGTAGCTAACCTACATAGACCCCAAAGTGGGTTACGCTAATGAAGGAAGTATGGATTAGGGTTTAGCATATCCATGGGCAACCTCAGTCACAGGTGCAGTTTAGCTACTTTCCCTTGGGCAGAAGCTCTTTAGGCACAATGGTCTCGACTCAGACAAGCACATTTTGCATTCTCCTGCTCAGAAGAGGTAAGTCAAGCCTTTAATACTTTATTGTTCATTAACCTAATAAAAAGGATCATTTTCATCATTTTGTTCTTTTGTCTAATATGAATACCACTTTCATATCTTGTCATTGCTCACAAATTGGCCAATAATCACACTCCCTTG